GTTGCCCATGCTGGAGTGCAATGGCACGATCTCGGCTCACCGCAACCTCTGCCTCCTAGGTTCAAGAAATTCTCCTGCCTCAGCCTCCTGAGTAGGTGGCATTACAGGCATGTGCCACCACACTCGGCTAATTTTCTGATTTTACTAGAGATGGGGTTTCTCCATGTTGGTCAGGTTGGTCTTGAACTACCGACCTCAGGTGATCCGCCCTCCTCAGCCTCCCAAAGTGCTGGGATTATAGGCGTGAGTCACCGCACCTCCAGGCCATCTTATTACAATAGAAGTGAGTGCCCTTTCTGTCCTCCCACTCCGCCTAATCTGAGAGGTGGACCAGGAAAGGGTGACGCCACAGAAGGGACAGAGTATATGGAGACCTAGTTTCCAATTTGAGCTCTGCCCCAAATTTAGAGTGACTTGAGAGTGACCCAATATTCATTGAGCAAACATTTCCTAAGCACCTACTGTGTGCTAGGCACTGGGCTGAGTTCTCCAGGCTCTGGATCTCTAGAAAGGAGGGGCTTTGATTAGATAAAATCCCTTCTTGGCCCGAAAGCCAGTGGTCTCTGATAGTCCTCAGCCCTAACCCCCCATCTTTTAGTGAGGGATTTCCCTAGAGAGTAATGGGGGCCTGAGTGTGAGAAGACATTACACTTTCCCAACCCCACTGTCCTCTCCCTGCTTTTTTTTGAGACAGAGTCTCGATCTGTCACCCAGGCTGGAGTGCAGTGGTGCGATCTCTGCCTCCTGGGTTCAAGCGATTCTCCTTCCTCAGCCCCCCGAGGAGCTGGGATTACAAGCATGTGCCACCACGCCTGGCTAATTTTTGTAATTTTAGTAGAGATGGGGTTTTACCATGTTGGCCAGGCTCGTCTTGAACTCTTGACCTCAAGTGATCTGCCTGTCATGGCCTCCCAAAGTGCTGGGATTACAGGCGTGAGCCACCATGCCCAGCCACACTTTTCCCTTTAGAGTGGGTTGAGCTACAGATGCAAGGAGGGTGGCCTGATTTTGCCTGGATCTCACAAACTCAAGGGTCAGCTGCTACCCATACTGTTCACTTAAGAAAACAAACACCCATTTCTGTAGCAACAGATCCCTGGCAAAATGTTGACACTAAGAAGCGGGACGCAGCCAACTTATGTCTCTGGACGCCAGAATATGCTGTTCTCTGAGGCCAGGGCTGTGGCTCCCAAGAGCAGGCTTTGTAGCTGAATGACTCTGCCGTCCCTGGCGCAAGGCCTGGCACTGTGTAGGTGCTCAGGAACTGGACACTGAGTGACTCATCAGGCCGTGGTGACAGGCAACAGAGAAAGGAAGGCTAGGTTGCGAGTGCTGAGCTGGGCACCTATTTGAGGACGGAGAGTGTGCCACAGGAATGACAAAGACGCTGTCCCTGACCAAACTTCAGTTAGGATCCCCCAAAGCCTCTTCTCCACTCGGCCTTGACCTTGGCCTTCTGCGTCTGTTCTGCCCTTGCCAGGCCTCCATCACCCAGTCTTAGCAAGAATCCTGCTAAGTCAGTTTAGACACCTTTGATATCTGATCACTCACCCTGGCCTGCCGTCAGCAAGAATCCTGTTCAGTCGGTTTAGCAAGAATCTCCCTGCCCTTGCTATCTCCTCTTAATACTTTCCTATCCAAGGATCCCCTCACTCTGCTCGTTGGCTACAGATCCCTGGAAGACTTTTCTGTAATCAGAATTGAGTCCCATCTCTCTCCTCTATTGCAATGCAGTAGTCTTAAGTTTTCCTTACTGTTTTAACGAGTGTCAGAATAATTTTTTTCCTTTAACAGAGGGAATGGAAAGGTGCCAAACCAGACTCGATCCAAATCACGAGGGCCTCCAGAACTGGCCCTGAGGTGCCTCTTCCTCAAGACAGAGAGAGGAAGCAACAGAAAAAGAGACGCTTGGGCCCCAACCCTCACTCCAACCCTTTCTGAGCCCAGTGGGGAGAGGTCAGAGCTGGCTTCCAGCGGAAGCTAGGTTGCACGTACCACAGAGAAGGACCAGCCAGGGGCAGCAGCCCCCATGAGCCCGGGCCATGGGGTCTCCAGATGCCGGCGCTGGGTGGATGGAGGGACAGGGGAGAGAGGGAGGGCTCTTTCTCGGGCCTCTTCCTCCAGGCCTTTCCTGGGCGCTAGCAGACAGGGGGTTGGGGCTGGCGTCAAGAAGGAGGCGTCTGGCTGCTGGATGGAGAGTGCCTTTCTGGTCTTTTGGAGGCTCTGGGAGTCAGGTGGGCAAAGAAGCTTTGGGTTGCCCGAGGCGGACTGTGCAAGTTCGCAGTCATCTAGGATAGGGTGTGAGGCCACCCTGGGCAGAGTCCAAAGATCTCGGAGATAGAGGTGCAACAGCTGGTCTCAATCAGCCTGCTTTTCCCAGCCCCCTCTCAGCGGTCAAGCCCCAGCCATTCCTGAATTCTGTCCCCACTCCCTCCAGCAAGCTGATTCCCATTAGCTCCCACACTCTGGGCTCTGGCTACAGCACTGCTTCTGCTGTGGGGACGGAGATCTGCCTCCTGCTGCTGCCCCTCCTCCCCTCCTCTTCCTCCTCCTCCTTTTTCCTCCTCCCTCTCCTTTTCTTTTTTCCTCCTTCTCCTTTTCCTCCTCCCCCTCCTTTTTTGCCTCCCCTTCTTTCTCCAAGCTGCCTGGAAAAACCAGTGTCCTCTCTTCTTGTAGTGCTTGGAAAATCCCACTGTACCCCTTGGGAAAGTTGGTTGTGACTGGAGTGTGACTCTTGAGCCAGGATGAGTCCCGCCAGGAGCGCCCACTCTGTAGAGGTGCTGCCAGCTCTGGTGGCTCCTGCCTGTAATCCCAGCACTTTGGGAGGCTGAGGCGGGCGGAACATGAGGTCAAGAGATGGAGACCATTCTGGCCAACATGGTGAAACCCTGTCTCTACTAAAAATACAAAAATTTGCTGGGTGTGCTGGCACGTGCCTGTAGTCCCAGTTATTCTGGAGGCTGAGGCAGGAGAATCGCTTGAACCTGGGAGACAGAGGTTGAGTGAACTGAGATTGCGCC